CTGGTCTAAGCTTTAATAAGCCAGGAAAATCCAAGCTCAACCCGTTGGATTGGTTTTGTGAAACAGCCCTTAGTTTTTTGTTTGTTTTTTCTGTTTATTTGGTGGTTTTTAGCTCAATGTTCTTTCATGGATATCATTTTTTGCAATTCTCCTTTCTTCCTATTTGAGAATCACTGACATACTGTAGACTTAACTGAGGAGAATAAAGTCAATAGATATCAGTAATTTTCCTTATTTCCTGTGTTTGTTTTTCCTTAAATTGGGAACAGATGTGTTGATTTCGGAGGTATTTTACACTACTTCATATCATCTGGCATGTTAAAATAATCTCTGATTCTATTGGGTAAACAGAAATAAGACCCTGATATAAAGTTAATTTTAACTTTTAATCCACAGTAATCTGTAATCTAAAAGGAGAGTGATTACTTTTTCACACAAGTTAGATCATTTTTTTGTCCTCCAATTCTGAAATCATCTTATTTCAAATTTCTTACCAATAATCTGAACAGAATTGTTAGATAAATCAGAAGTTTTAACCCTTATACTAGTCGGCAGTTGTTATCAATATACTTTTTCCATGGATCTCATATCATAGAAGTATGTGATGAAGGATTCTCTGTGTGCTCTGCATCCCCACCATTGTTTGGCCAGTAAATAGAACTGCATAAAACCCAATAACGTGGCCTGCATGGAAGTAAGACGCAGGAAAACATATTGAACAGCTGTCCAATGCATTGAAAACCATTCCTGAAGACACATTTTTAACCTCTAAAACAAAATGGGAGCAACATACTGAAGGCAAGTTTGTTTCTGAATAGATGTGACCTGTACCTACTGCACTGGAGCTGCTGATTAGAAAGAGAATTGAACCGAGATGTGGGATCCAACAAGGGAGCTTTGCGTCTTGTCGAATACTAATCAGTGTACGATTGGTACGAAAATTACAAATGACTCTTTATGTAAACATATTCCACCTGGGTAAATTACACACTAATTGATAACTGCATCCTCTGGAGAAATAAGGTGACAACAAGCCTACAATAACATCTCAATAAGTTACAGACAATTAAACATTGCCTTTTTTTCCTGCTCAAGGTAGATGAAGGCTCTAATTTAACTCCATCCTGCGTGGATCCACCAAGACATTTCATTTGTTTCAAGAGTTAGTGAAACCCCTTAGAGATGAAGTCTCCTTCCTCAAATCAGCCAAATGCCCCCTCTTACTTTTAAATCTTTATTAGAAAAAAAAAGCAAAGGAAACATGCAGCCACCTTCACCACCTTTCCTTGATATATTCTTAAAAAATCTCCTGAATATGAACATACTTCAGGGAAAACGTTTAAAAGATATCTTTGCAGGCACAACACCCTTAAGACGGCTTGATTATCTTTGGCGAGGCGCCACTGAGCTGTAGCGGTGCTTTAAAGACATTCCTAGTAGGATATAAATAGTGTTATTTTCCTCAGCAGCAACATGTAGACAATGGTAGTGATATGGAAGTGGTCAGCCTTCCTCTTTAAGTAGTGCTTTCCCAGGGAATGAGGGGACTTTACATCAGAAACCAGTGATATTTTGAACTGAACACATAAAAAGTGTCATTAAATTTAAATATTTAAATAACATTATGTCCTTTTAATGCACTTAGTTATAACAATATAAATCTTTTCATGCTGGTAAAAAAAAATTTTTTCAAAAGGAAGTATATGTGAATATCTTGCAGAGGAGCAAAGAATTTAAAATATTAATATAGATATATAAATCCAGAATATTAAAACTCACCCATCATGATGATTTTACGGAAGAAATGAGACCTTAAAGCTGGTTAAATATTTACTGGCCAAATATTAAGCTGCTTTGAGGACATCAAATGTGAAAATGTCTGCATTTCATTTTTGCACTCACGGGCCTCATGTCTGAACATTGTTCTTGCATGAGGCAGTGTGATGGCGTGGTGAGCGGGTGAGAAAAGACTCTTACATAAGTTTGACTTTTCCGGCACGGAATTGGCTGAGGTGGCTTGCATAAACAAAGAGAGTGATGCACCTTTATAAATTAGCCTCAGGCTGAGGCAGTTTACTGTACTTCTACTTCCTTCCTCCAGACACATACATTCAGGCCTGCTTTTTGCCAGGCTTGCAGTTAAAGATGGTGAGGATTATTTTGGTATTTATGACAACACAGAGCTCTCACTGTGAACCCCCCACCAGTGCTGGAATTTGAATCAGTGCTACTGCATTTTTACTGCAAATATGTTCTGCTTGTGTTCTGTACCAACCCACTGTAAGGGTTTTTGTTGGATAAATTACCTTTAATAAACTATGTCTTCTCATAGATAGTGCAGCAAAAAAAATAAGTATTAAGTAGCTATTAACTAATGATACATATACTCCATTAAATAAATTTTATTCATAGACAGTTAAATGTATATACAGTGCATTGGATTTTTTTTTCAGTATAGGTACAGGAAAATGACAAGGCAGCTATACACTGGGCCAATAAGTTACAGTAACACCTTTTTAGAAATGCACGAAACAATCAGCCCTTGTTCCCTTGAAATGGCTCTGATTGGTGATTACCAGCTCAAATACTGAACATTATTTGTTTCCTTCTTTTATAAAATGGATCAAACATTGAAGCTTCGTCCACCGTCAGTCTATAAATGCAATCCCTGATGTGGGATTGCTGCAAAGTCAATAATGGAAGCAACTGTTTAAAGTTGCTACATGTTCATCCAGGAATGAATGCTATGTGTCAGTGACTTAACGAACTCAGCTGAGTTTAAGTTTACATAAAACTTTTAAACAAATTTGAACAATAAACAGAACTTGACTGCATTGTTTGATACCTATGATCATCTGGAATATATTTAATAGATTTGAAATTTGTTTGGTTTGACTGAGTTGACTCTATAAAGTGCCTTGAGACGTGTTGTAAATGAGTGCTACATAAGTAAACTGGAGAAGTAAACACAGGCCAGTAGCTTTTACTTTGAAGCACTTTTCAAGTTTAAAAATCATCTGATAAACACAACATATTGGAAGAAGCTTGTAATTCCTTTGTAACAACTTTCACATTTTTCTTTAATTTTATGTATGGAACTCTGTAGAATATTAGATACATTGATATATCTGTCATTGTATCGGCAGTATTTCCGCATGTCAAATGTCTTTAAAACAATAGAGAGAGGGAATTTTACCTCTAAGAACCTGCAGAACTTCCTTTAGGAAAAAAGAAAATTAAGGATAGGTTCAAACTGGAATTGGCAAATTAGCATTGGCCATAAAAAGTTTATTTGATGATCAGAAGATCAAATGCTAAAAAATCGGGTATTTTTTCTTTCCATCAATGATAATAAAGAGAGCTCCCTCTGTTTAATGTCTAAAACCACCATTCACAACATCATGAACTTTAATTTAGTATTTTAGAAAGAAAAAATAAGTCAAATAAGTGTTTGGTGACATCTAATATAAATGGAATTGGTTGCAGCATTTTTGTATTTGTTGTAAAGAATCCAAAAGAAAAACACTTAAAAATCAGAATAGGTTGTCAGACCTTGATGGGAAAAAAAAAACGCTAACAGTCGAGGGGGAGGGAGATCCAAATTTCATCTTAATGTGAGCTCTTCCATTTTCTAAGAATTGAAGCACTTTTTTAAACAATAGACATCCATCCAAAGGTTAGACACAAAGGAAAATGTAAAACAGATATCAGCAAGGAAAAGGCAGCTTGTTGATCAGCAATGGGTACTACAAAATACAGTTAATTTCCCTCCCTATCAATTAAGGGAATGCAAATAAGAATACGCCCATTTTTAGCCATTAAAAGCATTGGTCTAAACAGCATAAACTTTGATGTTTTTTTTACTGAAGTATAAAGAAATATTAATGTTAGAATAACATGCTGCAGAAGGATAGTGATGCAACTATCTTTTAGTACATTCTAATAGAAAACAGGCCTGTTTATTGTATTTTCATACAAAATTCATATGAGGGGGTTGAGTGGGACACAATAACAAAATATATCAGTGCTTGAAGTTCAGCCTTGTATTTCATAAAAGATTGTTTTCAAAATTGAATGAATAATTTAAGGGGCTTCAAGTTTGTATGCGCTTTGATGCATAAATGGGATCATCTTATTTTTACCACATGTGTTGGTATGTATGATATGGGTGGTTCTAGACAGGGGCCAAAGGGGGCCAGTGCCTCTGTAGACCATTCTTGGCCCCTGTACTGAAGACATAATACTCAAAGAAATTCGAATGATGATATGCCCTGAAACAGACATGGTTGCTGATAGGTCCTTTGGATCTATTTCATTTTTTTCCCTTTACAAATTCTGTTTAATTATCTAAAAACAATAAGGTGATAGCTTCAGTGGAATTGAGATAGGATCCCGGTTTTTCATCTTCTAAATGTTTTTTTTTTTTTTTACAAATTTTAAAAATACTTGAATTTTTACAGCTGAATTTATCAGTTTTTCTTGAGTTCTAATTCAAATTTTATAGAAAACTGTAATTTTAACTTATGAATTATGGATGTATATTGACCTAATAAGTCATAGAATTTTAATTGAACCTAATTGAATAGAAATTTCACTTCATGCAGTTATCTTAATATATTTGAATCCCTTGCTCTGTTTTTTATTTCATAATTTTCTGGGCCCCCATGGAAACACGCGGGCCCCCTCCTGGCCCCCTGGTACATTTTTGTCTAGAACTGCCACTGATGTATGATTAAACATCTTGATATAATTTTAGAATGTATAGTATTTGATATGTTTTTAAGTGTTTATCCTATGATTCTTAAAAAAAATCAGAAAAGGACTAAATTGGAATCAGAGGAGAGTTTTAAAAGAAAATTGGAAATCAATGAGGCAGAAAAGGCCAGATCAGTGGATCTCTGTAAATTTACAAACCTCAAACTGATTCAAGTAACTTGATCATTTTCACTTCCAATGCGAGCTTCATCATTCCATGTGTTGTTTTTTTTATGTTATTTTTTATTTATTTTTTTGGCAGGTTGGACCTCAAAGAAAAACCATTATTGGCTGAGAAAAGCTTGAAGATGTCTCTCTACACATTTCCAAATCACATGTCAATGAATACGTAAGTTAAACATAAAAAAATAACATTTTATGTTCGCTTTGAAGTTCTACATATAATTTTCTTGAAAGCTTTCCTGAAGTCTCTATTAAAAATGGTGTAAATGATGGGGTTCACCGAGCTGTTGCAGTAGCCAATCCAGAAGAAAAGTTTGAAAAGTGCGTCAGGGATGGTGCAGCTGTTCCTGCAGATCGCGTGGAGGCTATAAGTGAAGAAAAAGGGGAACCAGCAGAGCACAAACACCCCCATCACCACCGCCAGCACGAATGTAAAACGTTTCTCCCGCATCTGGGCCACTTTAGTCTTGTTGGCAGCAGCCAGCTGTTTTCTCTCAGCGGGGTTCTTCTGCTCCGGGTATGGCTGTGACGCGCGGGCCGAAGCCCAGGAGAGACGGCAGCTCTGCGGCGGGCAGCAGTCCGACCCCTCCACCTTCCTGCGCTTCGTGAAGCGGTGGTGGCGGGACTTGGTGTCCGAAGAGTAACAGCTCTCCTCCAGGTCGATGTCATCCAGCTCCCCCTGCCTCTGCTGGTGGCTGCCGGAGCTCTGGCTGCTGGGACTCTCCACCTCAAACCGGTCCTTTCTGGCAAAGCAGGTCTCTGACTGGGAAGGCTCTCTCTCCAGGCCGTTCTTGGCCACGAACACAGTGGAGGAGCGCTGCTTGGCCACTTTGTAGATCTTACAGTAAACCAGGATCATGATGAGACCCGGAGCGAAGAAGGACACCAAGCAGGAGGAGAGGATGTACCAGGTCTCGTCGTTCAGCTCGCACTCCCACTCATCGTGTTTGGTCATGAGGAGAGGGGGGAAGGAGATGATGGCAGATATCACCCACACCACAGTGATCATAAACTTGATGCGCTTTGGGGTTCTCTTCAGGTTGTAGCTCACAGCCTTTGTCACCGACCAGTAGCGGTCCAGGCTGATGGCGCACAGGTGCACGATGGATGAGGTGCAGAACAGCACATCCAGAGCCAGGTAGAAGGCGCACCAAGTACTTCCAAAGTACCAATAACCCATCACCTCATTGACTAGGGAGAAGGGGATGACCAGCGTGGAAACCAGGATGTCCGCAGATGCCAGGGAGACCAGGAAAAGGTTCTGTGGCGCACGCAGTGCCCTGCTGGTCAGAACCGCAACAATAACTAACACATTTCCCACAATAGTCACCGAAATCATAACAATAACCACAAGTATGATGAGCGACGTGGCTGTCTTTGTGTGCGGTAGTGAAAGCGGTGCGTCGGTGGCGTTGACATCCCTGGAAACGTTTTCCAGCACCACATTTAAATCCATTAAATCCATCCTTGCTTTAAACTGTTCTTTAGGACCATTTTGGGTACGTTTACCCTCCTTCTAAAACAACAAAAGCTGGGCGCGCGTTGCTGCGTCGTTACAGATCGTTGCTCCGCTGTGCGCAAAGCTCCTGATAAGAACAAACAGGGCGCATCCGACATACGATTCCAAAGCTGCAAACACTGATTTCCAAAAATAGCAGTTTTTGCACAGGAGTCCCTTGAACATAGTTTTCGCACCCCCACATATTCCCAGGCATACAGAACAACATCTGAACCAAGTGGCGCCTCTGATGTCACATTGTCCTGCGTAACGCTCCTTCCTTCTGTTTTCCTGGAGCTGGCGGGATGAATGTTCTCACAGGAGTGGGGTGACATCACAGCAAGTACCAGCCCATCTTCAAACTGAAGCACAGAAAAAGAGAAAGCAGGAAACTTTCTCCCAAAACCATTTAATTGAGCTTGTTGTGTTTCCTTTGTGTGTTGTTTTCCTTTTTTATGTTTTGCAAATATACAGAAATAAAATGTAAATAAATACCCGTTAAAGTGTACCACAGTTATTTCTATAACTTGCATGAAATTTTTTTATGTTTATTTTCAAATTCATAACTTTGACTGTCAGTTTCAAAACTATACTGCATAACCGAAAGCATTGGATGTGATATTCTTTATTACATCCAATTTAGATCGTAGGTTTCCTTTAGAAGCAATGTATTTATTTTAGCTTTTATTTTATTTTTTTATCTAGTGTTTTTAAATGCTGTTGGTATTGGTGCACTATCTGGACACCCATTGAAAAGCTTTCTTAAGCCCCCTCTGTTTTTAAAGCCATGTGCAAAGCTGACAGATTTTAAGTTTTAAAGTACTTCTGCAAAATATTCACTCAGGGTCGCATCATTTCCTTTTTAGGTTTTTTATTTAAAAAAAAAAAACGTCTTTTAAGACAGTATATCCAGCTTCATTAGGTCAAGAAATGGTCTAGTTTCACATTTAATTCAGTTTTCCTGCTCACTTTGCAGACCGAGGCCCACAATTGGTTAGCCACAGTCGCTGTTCCATAATTCATGCAGTGTAATCTGGGGTTATTCTCTGCAGCCACAGTAAAGGTGACTGTTACACCTGTTGCTGAGGAGCATGCATCTGTTTGCTCTTGAGTTTCACTCAAATCCAATCTATGCAGCTGGGGCAGACAGACAGAGGGATTTTTATCTGGACACAAATTGCCAGTAATGCAAAAAAGAAACCCCTCTATTGGACGTCGATTTAGAGAGTAAAACATTATAACTGACTAGGAAGACAGACGCAGATCACCAGTTCTCGGTTGAAAATACATTTCTTTGACATAAACAGCGTCTGCTGGAAAGCTATTGGGCTGGGATTTGTAGCCCATTTGAAGCTGCATGAAAGCCAGCATTTGCAGATATTTGAGCGTTTGCTCCCCTTGAGAGTAAGTGATGTGGAGGCTCAAGAAGAACAGTAGCTGCCTTGAGATGAAACCTTAAAAAGCATTTGCAGGGAATTTGATAGGAATATTTATTTCATTGAGCCTTTCTTTCTCTCTCTCTCTCTCTCTTTCTTTTTCTCTCTCCAAAAAAAACACACAAAATATCTGCACAGAGATCATGTCAGTACATATCAGTGGCATGTGCCTTTAGGGTTTACCTGTTTTATAAAAACATATATCCTCCCCCCGGTTACCAACGTCCTCTGACATATGAATCAGCTAAAGCAATGTCATTTTATTATCTTTGCACATTACTTTATAACCGGAGGAAAAGAGATATTGTGCTCAGTCATATCAAGTGAGCAGGTTGTTATGCACTTTGTGATGAAAGAGAGGCTGCTACTAAAAACTGCACTTTGTCATTGCTTTGTTTGAGGAAAAAGGGCATTTCAGATTAGAATAGCTGAAAATAAAAAAACAGAAGACATGTTTGAAGCATATCTTATATGTCCTACAATTCTCTGTTAATGATAAAAATTTCTTCTCACAATATCCCCATGATTTGATTTCCATTGATTTATGATATCCCTGGTTTTTCAAAGATGTTAAAGATATTACTATAAAGACGGATATCATATTTAGCAGAGGCTTTCATTCAAACACGTTCAGCTTATTTTCCAAGGGCAAATACAACCAATTAAAACTGTGGTTTACCAACTAAACTATTTACCATAGCTAATAAAATGGTTTGACCATTTTAGATTTGTGCGTGTAGAGTTATGGAAATAAATTGGGTTATACAATACCAGTAGATTCTTTCCTAACAGCTTTGTATTTAGGAATATTTCAGTTTAAATCAGCTGATGAATATACAAGTTTAATCTAAAATATTTATCCTTGTTGCAAAGTGCATTGTTATTGCAGATCCTGGTAACAATCACTGCTCCTAACAAATGTGTTAAGCGTTTATACCTCTGCTGTGTTTGTTTCTTGCTGTAATTAATGTGCTGCTGTTTTTGTGTGCACAAACATACACACATTTGGACATTTTGAAATGGTCTTATCTAGGTTCCTCTTACGGTACTTTCAATTTCCAACTGTATATTGTTGTATGCCTTATCTTTAAAAGTAGTTCTCTCTGTACAGTCTGTTATTGGCTTTTATGTATATATTTTTTTATTTTTATGAGCATATGAATGTCTCTATATGCCTTTCACTTTGCAGCTTCTGCAGCTGCACTGCTGAACCATAACAGAGACCTCTGTTTATTTTTTTGTTCTATTCTAAATTATTTGCTGCTGTCAGTTAAACTCTCAAAGTGTCTTAACAAAAATAAGTAAAAGAAAATACAAACAGAACTCGAGTGATATTTCATTCTTTCTTTGGAAGAAACATATCCTCATTCTTGAAACTTATTTTGTGGTTAAATGAGATTTAAACATGAGAAAATTTGATTTAAGGCACAAGTTCAATTTAAGCTTTCTCACACACTGGTCCTTTCTATCAAAAGCACCTGCTGTTTTTTTTAACTCTGACTCCAGCTCCTGTTAAGGTAAAAAATACTTTATACTGAATGATGAACAAGTGATTACAGCACAAATGAAGGTATCCCACCAATAAAATGCCATCCTAGGACACATTGGATATCATGACCTCGGTGTGACGCACATGCCAGTTCCATTTATCATCACACTTTAAATATTAGCAACAAAAACGTCACAGAGAAGCTACACTAGCTTTAAAGGCAACAACTCATCCATCATTAGATATGTGCAGTGATTTGACAACTTGTCCCACTGCCAGCAGGTAATTCTTGGAATGATGCGGTTCTAGTAATCGCTGCCCTTCGGAAATAAGTCATTATAAGTGACCTGAACATCCCTTTACAGCAGAGGGACTTCTGCACATATACTTTTTCTCAGACTTTTTTAGATAATTGCAGAGATAGCCATGTTGTGTTCTGGCTTGCAGGACAGCAGCACAGAGACAGTGACGTTACCGATTGGTCTCTATGGGGAGAAAGTGCTGTGAAAATATGCTGTTTTGCTGACACTCGATGAGGCAGATAACACTGTTTATTGGCAATACAAGACAGTCTGGGTCAAGTGCATACAGTATACAGGCTCACTGGACCCCATGAACAATCCATTTTCACAATTGTACAAAAATGATGAGGAGTTTTGGGAAGAAACCAATATTCATTTATTGTAGCATCTGACATGCTCACATTTGTAAAAGTTACATGTCCACTGCTCCCTTTGGGCCATTAATCCTGTCACTAAGCTGCTCTCTCACTGCTGTGGGTCTGAGATTAATGTGCTCTACTGTTTTCATGGCTTTCTGCAGGCATACTACAGTATAAAAGTAATGGATGACATTTTAAACATAAATCCAGACATTTTTATTGATTTATATGAACATAATGCTACATTACATTTATATATAATTAATGACTTTAATGGATTCTGATCCTGCTTAATATGTTACATTTTATTTTAAAAAGCCCAATTTCTTATTTTTTAAAATATTCATGGAAAAAACCTTGTATAGCATTATATTGAGCCTGTAGGTCAATTCAATTCAAAATACTTTATTAATCCCAAAGGGAAATTAAATTAAGGAGCAGTCCTCCTATATTTGTAGAAACTTTAGAACTGTTGTGGTATAAGTTATACTGAGCTTTTATTTTTTTATTTTTTTTGCTTTGTTGATTTTAGTTGCCTCTTGCTTTATTTTTTTGTCGTCTTTAGATTTTGTTTTTTCAGTTTACCTTTTGAACGAATTATTTCTGCTTTTTTTTATTGGTTAATTGATAAATTTTTTGTTTTGGCCATGTCATAGCCTGTTTTAAATTTTGCTATTTGTGTTTTTCCATATGGGTCAATTTTTTGGTCTCCTTACATTTTCTCATCTTCCTCACACTTTGTTTAGGTTTGTCTTATTGTCTAATTTGTTAGGATCTTGCTAGAAGTTCTGCTCAAGTTCATATGGGTTTTATTGTTGTTGTTTTTTTTTGCCTGTAATCATCCCGATCTTCTCCACTTGTAAATCCTTAATTATGTAATTCAGTCCACCTGCTACTTGCCACTGCCTTTTACCTCCCATCTACCAATTTTACTCCTGGAAATGTTCTTTCACCATTCGCTGGTTTTGAGATCCCCCTAAAAACTGCTATGCCCCCTAATCAGCAGTTTTGATCAAAATTCATTAAATAAAAATGCGGATAATAAAGTATGTACTCTTTGATTTTTACTTTTATCCTGCACCACCCTAAAATTTCTGTGAATCTAATATTCTTAAAAATGCATCAATCTGATGAATAAGTTAATGGTATGACCTTTAACATTATTCTGTCAGGACTTTTTTGTAAGAAATCCTACATCAGTATTTTGTGGCTTGGAGGGGATCAGTATTTGCCACTATTTAGTAGTTGCCCAGGAGGCTTTTATGGCAACCTTCATGCTCATTTGCAACGCTGACTCTCTTCTCTCTTCTTCTTGGTTTTGTTCAGGCCAGTTTTGCTCGGCACACACAATGAAACAATAGTCATTAAAGCAGACATCAAAGCTTTCTGTGGTGAGAGCAGGTGCCAAGTCCTGCTGGAAAATGAAATCAACAACTCCATAAATCTTGTCAGCAGATAGAAGCACAGGGTGCACTGAGAGTTCCTACTAGACGTCTGTGTTGTCTTTGGACTTTATCGAACACTGACTTAGCACTGACTGTGGAAAACTTTCGTTGCACTCTCTACACTTTTCTGGCCCTCAAGTTTCCTAATAAGGTGGAAAATTACCTTTCATTTGAAAAGAAAGTTGAGCAACCATTTTTTTTCTCCTGAGCCAAGGTAAAATGCTTCTCATGCTGTCTCTGATTAGTGGGTGGCTTAAGAAAGGGAATGCAAAACTTC